GTTTTGACTCTGTCATATGCTCAAACTTCAGTGGAAGTCATGAGAACCTATTATTTTTGCCTGCTCCCTCCTTTACGTTGGAAATATTCTTTTTTACTCAGAGGGACCTTAACTTTGATGTAAGGGATTGTTTCCGTTGCCAACTGTTTTCTTCCTTGCCAAGTAAGAGAGTTGTTGTGAACTCTTCAGTGATGCCTTCCCTAGTATATTTCCAGATGTGGTTGGGAAAAGTCATTTTATCCCCGACCTTTGCATGTCAGGTGCTGGGGTGCCGGGGTGCTGCCTCGCCTGCGCCCCGGCTCTCCGATCCTGATGTGGCTCTCTCTCCCTCCCATCGCGATGGCGACCACCTGGCCTGCGCCTCGGCTCTCTCTCCCTCCGATCGCCATGTGATCACAGGGCCGCAGGCAAGGCGGCAGCCCCGGGGGTGCCACCTCGCCTGCAGCCTGGCTTTCCGATGGCGATCACCGGCCACCCAGCTCTTGCCTGCTGCCTGGGTTTCCAATCACTGTTCTTCCGTCCTTCCCCTTTTGCCTCCCATCATTGTGCCTACGTATGCAAATTAACCGCCATCTTTGTTGGCAGTTAATTTGCATATCACCCTAATTAGCCAATGGGAAGCGTAGCAGAGGTACGGTTAATTACCCTCTTTGTCTTTTATTAGATAGGATAGATCTTTTAATTGCGTGGACTTTTGTAAATACCCCCTTACTATTACATATTATGTTTTAAATAATTAATAAGTATTAACTATTAATGAAATCTATTGGCTAAATGTTAAGAGGCATCTTCCTATATATTTTAAGTCTTTTTGCAAGGTCCCAATGATTAGATCAGACTTCCTCTTTGTCCAGTTTGTGTTTATTCCTTACAAATGAACCTCTGTAAGGATCATCTGAAACCATCAGAAAAGTTATAAGATAGTGAATATGAAATGAAACAAGGTCTGATTCTGGATTTTTATTTTTTTATTTTACCTCACATGATTCCTTGGCTCCTCCATGCCTTATTCTCCTTTGTCTGAGTGAAAAAGCTCTAAAAATGACAGAGTGTAGGGTGATGGAACTATTTGTCATCCACCAAATATCCCTAACATCTTTTCCCCTGGGATAGCTACTGAAATTATTTTTACATAACTAATTGAGGTCGCAAGGGTAACTTTACATAAAATAATTGAAAGCTGCTGTAGAGTCACTTGCTTTTCTACTCATAGCTATAAAATAGTCATGTGTAATTTTTAGAAATTCTGTGTTGGCATCCTGTTATGAATGTAATAGCTTCTAGCCCAAAGCTTGGTACACAATAATCCCTGAGTAAATGATAATTGCAAATTGTTATTACAAATTGTGGTAATTCTGATGATGATGATAATTGAGATAGTCAATAATTATGCTCCTGAAACAGTGAAAAATCTTCAAATCTCAATTATTAAAACACACCCAGGATATTGTATTTCTGTCAGAAAAAAAGATATACATAATTTTCAAAAGCCATTCTAATTAAGTTTGTTTGATTAATGGCTAACCAGAGGTTAATTTCATCTGATTACTACATATGTGATCACTTGAGGTGGATTTTTAAATGTGTATAGAAATCTAAATATGTAGGAACAAAATATACTACAACATATTTGAAATTTAACAGCATAATTATCTGCTGAAATTACTATTTTTGAATAGCTTTATGTACGACAACTATAAAATTGCTGCTATAGTTCCTAAATTTTACTACCATTTGAATATTCATTTATTTCCACAGGAATATCTCCCTGGATAGCAGATGATAAGGTCCCCTTTCCAAGTAGCTATGGGGATAGATATTATACAACTGCAATACTTAGTTTTCTTTCTGTATTTGTATAACAAGAACTGTTTTGAAGATTGTCTGAAATAGGAAACAAAAACATTTGCTTCCTCAGGGATTGAAATGGCATTCCATACTATGAAACTCTGGAATTTATGGGTTATTGGTATATTTTATATTCACAAGTAGAGATGGCCTTTATAAATGTGACCTTAAATATTCTTAGCACTTATTCTTGTTATAGTTATCATTTTTTTCACTTCAAGTGGCATTTAAATATGCTTCACCATAGATTTCTAAATTTTACTTGAGAAATTTGTATTGTAAATATAGCAGTACTTCCTTCATTTTGCTTATTTCTAAGTGTCTCTGTATGTATACTGGCATATCATCATCTCTTGCTTATTAAAGTTTAGGCAACATTTTAAAAATATTTATTTTTAAATGTATCCATATATTCTAATTGCTTTCTTTTTCAATTACAGTTTACATTACATATTACTTTGTATTAGTTACAGGTATACACTGTAGTGGTTAGACAATCATATAATTTACAAAGTGGTCCCCACCCATTGACTTTTGATGAAATTTGAAAGTACTCTGCTGGACATATTTTCAGCTAGGAAACTTGATAGAAAACAAATATATTTTGGAAATAAGGTATTATATAGAAACTATTAAAATTAGAAAGTATTTGTAATGTTACTGTTCACCTCATATTCTTCCTTGAGTAGAATTAACATTTTCAAAATTTATAATGAGATTAAAAGTGGTTTATAATTAGGTTAAAATGCCTTTATTGTTTTAAATTTTATAATCTCATTGAGTGATTTAGTGTATACTTTTAGCCCCTAAAACTTACTGATTACTTACCAAGTTCTTTTACAAGGGAACATCTAGATCAGGGGTCCTCAAACTTTTTAAACAGGGGGCCAGTTCACTGTCCCTCAGACCGTTGGAGGGCCAGACTATATTTAAAAAAAAACAACTATGAACAAATTCCTATGCACACTGCACATATCTTATTTTGAAGTAAAAAAACAAAACGGGAACTGTATTTGCATGTGGCCCGCAGGCCGTAGTTTGAGGACCCCTGATCTAGATAGTATATCCTTGGATAAGAATAGCCAGTGAACAAGGATTTCAATGTAATAATCATCAGTGGGAGTGAGCCTTATTTTGCATTGGGATATATAATAACAGATGAACATCCACACTAAGCAAATTTAGATTATGTCATTTTGCTTTATCCTTTTTTTCAATCTAATGATATTTAACAGTTATTGTCAACAGTTGCAGAAGGAATATTAGACTAGGAGTCAGAATATTTGTATTTCAATTCCTCTCTACAACTTCCTGATGATATGACTTTGGTTAAGTTAATAACTTCCCTAGACCTCCCTTTCTTCCTCTTAATAATAATAATCGTCGACATCATCATAGTAGTAATAGTAATACCTCCCCCATATGGCTGATGTGAAAGTTAGATCTAGATAAAGCATTCAGTAGTTCAGGATCTATTACATAGGGTATTCATTGAACATTAGCTATAATGCTATATTGCTATTATTATAACTTCCCTTTCTTTCCTCTTCTTCCTCTTCTCTTCTTCCTGGAAGTTTTGAGCAACTGATTCTTCTGCATATTTACCTGAAAACTGTGTAAAATTATTTTGCCCTGCACAAATTAAGCAATGCATATAATGCTTTAGGAAATATTAAGTTCTATAAAATCCAGAGGTGAACATTAATTAAATGTAATGGAGCTACATATTTTAGATACTAAGTATTTTTAGAAGTAGCTGCTCTCATGGTTTAGTGAAAATACTCTAGGAATAATTCAGCCTTCCAGATGATATAATAGCTGCAGATAAACTAACATGATTATCAGAATAAATTAGGCAGACTTTGGCAATTCTATAAATAATATGGCTGAATGATGCTGCTGCTTAGAATATTTGGGAAAAATTGAATTTTTAAAATTGATAATTCTGCCTTATCAATTTCCAGTATGATAAGCACAACTCCAGGCTTTTTTCAGGTCAAAAGAGATCCCTTTTCTCTTAAAGTATGTTCTTTGATGTACTTAGACAAGCCTAACAAGGTGATTTCCATTGAACTCTACCCTTTGTAAAGTGTGGGAGCACTTTTGAGAGCCAATCTAAAAGCCACATTTTTGTTCTTCAGTTTCCAAATGTGACTTTGAAGCAAATAGCTGTGGTTGGTTTGAAGCAATTAGCGGTGACCATTTTGACTGGATATGGAGCTCCAGAAGTAACCTTTCTGCTGATTTTGAGCAACAGGCCCCTCCCTGTGATCATACTCACAATACTGCTCAAGGTAAGCAATAAGCAGAGACCCTTGGGAATGACCTCAGTTCCCCTTTGGTCAAGTCTGAGAAGAGAAAGAGAAGCAGATAACATTCTATGTTACCATGACAAATAGTAGGGCATTTGAGCATTATCAGTTACACTCATGTTGTCTGCATGGGATTTATTCCTTTATGGATGGTGGGGGTAGAGCATAGATATATTTTTTGGCTGAGTTAACTTAAATTACCAATGTTTTTGGCATCATTTAGATATAGATCATAGTCTTTTGACTAACCATCACTTTCATTGATTTTTAATTGTTGTATGGTCTTAATTTTAGTTGGACATGGAACTTATTTAGTGTAGGGTTAAGAGACAGATGTCTCACTTTGTAATCTAATAGGCTAACGTATGGCTTGTTTTGTATACCAATAGGGCATTTTATGTTCATTCTGAAGAAAAGCAGCAGCTTGGCACAAGTTGCTAAACTCCAGAGTCCAACTATCAGCCAGACAGGAACGGGATGCACGCTTTCTTTCTGGTAAATACTATAAACAATGGTCAGTTACCCTAGCAGTGCGGTGCTTGCAGGCACACTCCTGCATTTAGTAGACATTAGGATTTGCCCTTGGTTTTGCTTTAAAAATTGCTATTGCATTAGCTCCACACAATTAGCAGTTTACTTAAGAGCTCATTATCAGTGTTTGTTGTGTTCTTTCTTAAGATGAAAGGGCCTTTTCCCCTTCAGCAATATATTATAACTTAATTAACACTGCTTCTCTCTTCTGTTCTGGACTGAACTCCTTGAGAAATGCTCCTAGGGTCCTGAGAGTCAGAGTATGCACCTCAGCAGATAAGTTTTACAAAGGTGCAGCCACAATTGCTGCAAGAAATAAAGGCCTCCATTAAGATGACTAATTATTTATTGTTGACTGAGTGAAAGAGTGTGAAAGTTAAATATGTAGCCTATCCCTATAAGTCATATCCATTTCTTTTGTTTACTCTTTTCCAGGTTTTATAACTATGGCCTGTCAGTGGGAGCAGCTGTGCTCCAGCTACATATGGAAAATTCCAATGACTCCACAGTGCTCTGGAGAGTCTTATATAACCAGGGCAACCAGTGGTCACAGGCAACTATTCAGCTTGGGCGCCTTACTCACCCCTTCCATTTGACCCTAGAAAAAGTCAGCCTTGGCATATATGATGGGGTCTCAGCTATTGATGACATCAGTTTTGAAAACTGTACCCTTCCCCTCCCTGCAGAGAGCTGTGAAGGGCCAGATCATTTCTGGTGTGGACACACTAAGGCTTGCATTCACAAGCTTCGGTTATGTGATCTGGTGGATGATTGTGGTGATCATACTGATGAGGCTGACTGTGGTAGGTATATTTTTTTCCCTCTCCCACATTTGATAGTGATGATCTTACTTAAATTTACTGTTCTTTAGTCAATGTTTAGTCAACAAAGACACTAAACATTGTTCGGGGTTGATGAATGTTTTGTGCGATTTAATTAATCAATTAGTCAAAGCCATCTGTATTTATTATGTAGATTTAGAAACTAAATACTAGTGATACAATGTTAAATACAACTATACAGCATCCTTGCCCTCATGGAGCTTAAAGCCTAGGTGAGGAGAGATATTATTCAAATATTTAATAAATAAATATAAAATGGAAGTTTTGACAAGATTTATAAATAGAGGTGATGTGACTTGATGTAATAGCGGCATTGGACTTCCTAGAGTGATGACTTAGCTGAGATCTGAAAAATAGTAAGTCAAAGCATAAAAAAGTCCCCATATGTCACCGCATGGCAGAGGAAGGTAGCTAATGTGTGGCTGGGGCAAGGAGAAAGAAGGAATAGGGTGAAGGATAAGGAGAGAGGTGTAAAGGGCAGCCAGATTTGCAGGTCTTTTTAGTCCATGTTAAGGAAGTTCTTCCTTATTTGAAGGTTTTTATGAAGAAAGCTAATATAATAAAATTGGCATATTTGAAAATGTCACTATGGATATAGTGTGTTACGAATGGATTAGAGAAGACTGTATTTAGGTGATCCATTAGGAAGCCATTGTGGTAGTCAGCAGGAGAGGAGTTGGCAGCTTGTCACAGTGATAAGGATGGAGATGGAGGGACTAAAGTTTTGGGAAATATTTAGGAGGGACAATCGATGAGGTTTTGGCTATAGGGAGCACAAAGTAAGGTGTCAAAGATAAGTCTGAGTTTATGGTTTAAATTACCAAAAAATCTGTGTGTCTGATGATTGTGTAGCTCTTGAAACTTCATAAGCTTAGCTCCAGAGAGTACCTAATGCACTTGGTCCTGAATATGAATCAGAAGCTAATAGTTGTGATTTTATCTTTTAATTACAAAAATCTACCAGGAAAAAATTTGTATCTTTCATTTTGCAGAAATAGCAACAATACATATTTCAACTATGTGTCTATTAAGTTGGGAGGCCAATTATAAACCACAGAAAAGCCTTAAAATGCTGGGCACATCGTAATAACCATTACATTAAGAAATTTGTATATAAATCATTGTAGAGAGTTTGGGGTATATTTGATCTTTGACATTGTCAGAAATTTCAGTGCACAACTAATGTTTGAGTGGATGTAAACAGAATCAATGATTTTAACAATGGCTATTATAAGAAGTGTTGCTTGTCCTACATCTAATTTATTTTTTGCAAATTCAGAAAGCCTTTTTATCTTTTCAAGCTTTCCAAATTCCACTCTTTAAAAATTTTTGCCCTGGCCAGGTGGCTCAGGCTAGACTAGAGCATCATCCTGTATGGTTCACCAAAATGCTGTGGGTTCAATTTACAGTCAGGGCATATACCTAGGTTGCGGGTTTGAGTCTCAGTCCGGATGCATATGAAAGGCTACCAATCAATTGTTCTCTCTCTCTCTCTCTCTCTCTCTCTCTCTCTCAAAAATCAACAAGGACATATTTTTGGGTGAAGATTTAAAAACAATGTGTTTTCTATCTAAAAGTAAGCAAATTACCCTCAAACTTGTCAGTATTAACTTTATAAAATATCAGTATACTTCTTGTGACTAAACGTTAATGACAGAAAATAACAGTGTCATTAGACTGTCAGTTGCTCTCTCAGCAGTCCATCTAGACATATTACTATACTACATATACATTAGCATTCTAAATCTCTGTATTTCCTGAAGTATGTTTAGGGTCTTGGTCTTTTTTAAGGGCCGAGCTACACATATTCCCTTTTGAAATGAAGACTGAGCATGTAGTCAGTATGAAGACAGGCAACATACAAATCTGTTGGCTTTCTGTCAAAAAACTCAGCAGCTTGACATTCTCCTTCTGCTCTACAGCCAAAGACTGACACTTGGAAAGGACACCATGGGTCCCCAGTTCACGTCACAGCTGGGCCTGATTAGTCACAAGTGAGGGAATATCAAATGAAAGCTCTTCTTCCATTTGATATTTATTCACTTGGCTCCCTCCATTAGGTCTAAGCCCCGTTCTCTAGTTTTCAGATACAGATGATTTGTTCTTGCCTGGCTGCATTTATTCACATATGCTTTTATTTATTGTTTGAGTATTTGTTCGCCTTTGATGCCAAGTACAGTTGAATAAAGGACAGCTGACATTTATTTAAAAAAATATTAGATTATGTAAATGAAGCTAAAATGAAGTCATTAGTTCTAATTCCAAATAATGTCAAGTGTACATTCTGTCCCATTTATTCTAAAGAAATACTTGGTGTTGACACAATTTTCACATCTTGAAAAATGAATGTGTCCCGATGTTATCCTAGAAATGTAGGTATTTATTTGATAAGGGGCTAGTGCTTCATAAGTGCTTTGAATTCTTCTAGTGACTGAGGGCATTAGAAGTTTCAAACCTCTAATTTAATGGAGCTACATTCCAATGAGTAGGAAAGATGACCACTGAGGAGACATAGCTAAGAATTAGTAAGTCACGGGACATAACACTTGGCATAAATAGAGATGGGGAAAGGGGTGGAATGCTTAGGGCACATTGGGAGGGACAAACAGGAAGTTCATTTAATTTGGGAAATGTGAAGCTTGAGAGATAAGAGGAGTGTAGATTTAAGTTTAGGTTAAATGAGTATATATTCAAGGATTTTGATTAGAGCAGGAAAATGATAATCTGTCATTACAGAATGGTCATTCTGGCACAGGTATGGAAGGGACACTTGGAACTGGGGCAGGATGAAGCCCAAGAAAAGTTTCTCAGAGTGAGGTCTGGAAAATACCTGCTTCATATCATCTTGGGTACTTTTTAAAAACATGGATTCCTGGGCTTCACTCCGTGTCTAACAAACTAGTACTTGAATAGGCTTTTACTATGTAAGCAATTTTACCATATACCCCCGAGGACTCCAAAAGACTGACATCAATTAAAATATGACTCTTTTCAGCTCTGCATGTTAGAATCATCAAGGGAGCTGATGAGGTATCCTGATGATTGGCTATATTGTTTAGACCAAATATATCAACATTTTTGGAGATGAATTCTGGGTATTGTGTTTTCTGTTTTGTATTTTTAATACTCACTGGATTGGAACATTCAGCTAAAATTGAAATCCACTGAGCCAGAAGTTTGTTGCAGTGAGCCAGCTGTTGAGTTGTGATCATTTGCCTAGAATTATAGTAATAGAAATGGGGAAGGGATGGGCATAAATGGCATATGGAAAATAATGGCCAAAATAATTCCACTTTCAGCCCATAAAATATTATTACTTAATGTATTATCTAGAATTTTTCACTCTTTTTAAAACTTTACTGTTGCAAATTTTTTAAATTAAAATTGCTTACTTTGGCAGGAGCAAAATATCAACTAGTATATTAAGCAGAGTTATTTTTGTCTTTAATTATCTTTTGCTATTATTTACTGCCAATTTCAGCACCTGAACTACAATGTAACTTTGAAAATGGAATTTGTAATTGGGAACAAGATACAGAAGATGATTTTGATTGGACCAGGAACCAGGGTCCAACATCAACACTTAATACAGGGCCAATGAAGGATAATACTTTGGGCACAGCTAAAGGACACTATCTCTACATAGAATCTTCGGAGCCACAGGTTTTCCAAAACACAGCTGCTTTACTCAGCCCGATCCTCAATGCCACTGGCACAGAAAGCTGCACCTTCCGCTTCTATTACCACATGTTCGGAAAGCACATTTATAGACTGGCCATCTACCAGCGAATCTGGAGTAACACAAGGGGGAAGCTGCTGTGGCAGATATTTGGGAATCAAGGCAACAGGTGGATAAGGAAACACCTCGACATTCCCAGCAGGCAGCCTTTTCAGGTATGGATAATGGCTTTCATAATGTGTATTGGAAATGCATCATAATGTCTAAGGAATATGAAGGGTTGCTATATTTTTTAATTTAAAGAGAGTGGAATTTGATCAGAGTTACTTTGATACACATTTATCATGTAATTAAGGCTGTACCAAAGCTTGTTAAGTTGTGTTTCTCCTTGACTACCCCCAATAATGTTTGATTAAAATCTGTAAAGATGGTCACATGGCATTGGAAACAGCTGCAGGGCCCTTCGATTTTAAGTAATTGTTGTACTGAAAGAATCTGGAGGGAAAAAAGAGTTTGGCACCACCTCTGATATTCTGTAAAAAGCTCAAGACTCTTAATTATGATATGTTGCATAGTTCATCTAAATATGTCACATTGTATAGGTAGGCATTGGAAATCCAGGAAGAGTGCATGTTTTGTTGGAAAATCACACAGCTACTCTGCGGCAGAGCTAGAGTTTGAGTCTAGGTTTCCTTACTCCTGGTGGAATATTCTTTACTCTAATTCTCACCTGCCTTCTCCTAAAAGTCAAATTTACAACATCAAGTTCAAATACTTACGTGACTTTTACATATACTATTTGATCTCTCAGCAATTCTCTGAAATGGATAAGTTAGAGTTCTCTTTTGTCGATTTTATAGATATGAAGAAATAACAGGAAAAATGTGGCTAATTTTCAAAATATATGTGTGCTGCGCTCAGCATGGCCAGGTTTGGTGAGCCTTAGGAGGGGCGGTGAAAGATTAAAGAAGACAGACAAAGAGAATACAGCTGGGGCTAAGTGGATCTCTGACACAGAGAGACCCAGCCTGCAAGCTGAAGCTTTATTTTATAGTCAGAGCACACAAAGCAAAACAAGGGAAGTGGTCAACATGTTTACAATGTTCTTGTGAGTTTCACCTTGTTTGGCAGCACTTGCTGCACCTCGCATAGCCCATTAGCTACCTATGAAGGAACTAGGGAGGTCTATATGGTTAAGCTTAATGATGCTAGGAGGGCTCTGCCCTCCAAGCTGGGACTTGTTTGTGGCCCTGCCACAGGTCAGTCCAAGGCTTGACCCTATAGCTGCTCCCTACATGTATGAATTCTGTAAAACTTTACCTATTTTGCCCACACTTTTTCTAAATATGTTTCAGAAGGCATTTCCTGATTTTCATGGCGCAGAAAAGACTATAACATAACAACATTATGAAGGAGAACACGCATTTAGATACTTTAATTTCTGGAGATCTCAATACTTCTTGGAATGTGTTTGGTGGTTGCAGTGCTGGTCATTGATAATAATTATAAAATTATTTACTATTACCAATAATATTCTATACTAATTATTAAATGGTACATTGGTCTTAATGAAATCACATATAGTACTGCAGAAAAACCATATACAATTGGTTTGTATATGGACATGATATTGTATGTCAAATTAACATTTCCTTTTCCCAAATATGTTTTCTTGGCTATTCACCTTTTAACTGGTATATTATTGCAAGTGTGGTTCTGAGAGTGAGATAGAGTCTGTAAGTCTGTGATCTAGGTACTAATATTGTGGGATACATTCATATATGCCAAGCAGTGTTCCATTTATTCCAGTACTCTGCCACCAGTATAGTGTTCTAACTCTATCCTTAAAATTTCTATCTAATACAGATTACTGTGCTTGCTATCATAGATTGCTCTTGGATTAGCATGCTTAAAATTTTACATCCTAGACAGTTTATTTATCTTTTCCTTTTGAAGAATTCTTTTTAAGAAAATTAAAAATGGTTTTTAATTTTTAAAAATTAAAAATGGTTTTGAAAAATTAATTTCAGAGAGAAGAAGGGAGGGGGAGAAAGAGCTAGAAACATCAATGATGAGAATCATTGATCGGCTGTCTCCTGCATGTCCCCTAATGGGGCTCAGTCCTGAAACCCGGGCGTGTGCTCTGACTGGGAATCAAACCTGACCTCCTGGTTCATAGGTTGATGCTCAGCCACTGAGCCACACCGGCCAGGTTGAAGAATTTTTATTGCTTTATCTAAGCTGGTTTATCTAATGTGTTTAATAAGACTTGCTTCATTTTTTAAAAAGTTATATAGAATTTCTTAGAACTCACTGCTAATCCCTTTTCCAGTATGCTTTTTGGAAAGGAGACACCTTTCTTTCTCCTAAATTATACTGCCAACACAAAATTTCCATGAAAAATCAATACAGCAAAACAATTTTTTATGGAACACTTTATGTGGAGGGTCACATTGACATTTCAATAAGAGAAAGTATTTGAGCCATCTTCAATTGTAGAGGCTGTTGAATGAAAATAAGAGTTATTATATCTATTTTGAAGAAAATTTAAAACCATAGTTTCCAAAGAGGTTTCAACTCAATACTCAGCATACTACTGACCTTCTGAAAGGACAAGTTCTAACAAAGGAAACACAAATGAGATTCTTTGTCATATCTGATCTTGCCTACATGTTATATTTTTCCTTATAGTTAAATGAGGTTGTAGCTACATAATGAACAATATTTCATACAAGTACTTATTACCTGATGTTGTTGGCTGACTGTTTTATTAATGATGCACCATAAATATTATATCAGAATTATAACATTTGAAATCAATTTGAATTACTTAACAGTAAAATTCGTTCAAGTACTTTCTCACCAAGTGTTTGAAGCCAGATGTACTCTCAAACGTCCAATGTTAAGAATTTATTACTTCATTGGGTTTTCTACCCTACCTCTGGACATGCTGACCGAAAATGTTTTCTTATACAGAATTGAAGAAGAGAGAGAGAGAAAGAGATAGAAATATCAATGATGAGAATCCTCCTTTTGCTTTCCCTTTGAAGACTGCGTTTCTTGGCATGGAGTCATATGGACAGTAGTCACTGATAAGTGTTACAGAAACCTAGTTTAATGCAAGTTATTGATTTTTGGGCACCACAGGAACTAGGACTGACAGTCTTCAGCTCACTTTTTTCTAACATGAGTGCTTTTTCTAAAACGTGTTTTTAAGTATGAGGAAGGCATAGGGAGGGAACATAGGCTTTCAAAGAGAAGATTGCTTAGCTAGACCTCTTAATGCCACAGAACTTTATGACTCACTCTGAAAGAATTCTGTTATGTTAAGGTAACATCTTTAGGTATAAAGTAAAAGAGATTTTTCCCAAGTGGTTTTGTGATGAAATATTTTTAACAATCTTATTCATAATCATAATTTATGTTTTCATTTGTGGAATATAGTTTTACATTCTAAATGGTGCATCATATTTCACTTCTAGGGAAAAGTGTTTCTGAAGTTATGTCGTATATTAAACAGAACCATATTTAATAATGTTAAGTTGACCCCATTTCCCATGAAATTATATACAGAAATGCTAAAAGTTTAATTACATGTGTAGCCTCATATAACATTTGTCTTCAGGGTGTGTATAGTTTCAAGAATTTGCATTGAAAAGATTTGGATGACTAGCTTTCAGTCTGTATAGCGACACTCCTAGATTTGTTGCTTACTGAACAGCACAATAAATCTCCTTTTACAATGTTAACTTTCTCATACACTATTTCAGCTGAATTCAGATATAATCACAGCTTATTATGTCAACACTTCATCCAGTCCTGATATAAAGTGATGAACTTGGTTTCCAGGCTGAAGAACAAGTGACTAGAGAAGGGAGAAGAACAAGTTAGATGGAGGTTATTACAAGAGTGTATATAACAGAAAACAAGTTTAATTTCTTAAATAAATTAATTTTATATCCTTCTCTACTTGTTACAGCTCCTATAATACTAAATTTTATCTAATATTTTGACCCTCCAAAATTATAGTAAAATATAATTGTGGAACATTAAGCATTAGAAATATACTTTATATACAGAGGTGGCAAAAGTAGGTCGACAGTTGTGTGTGAAACAGAGTTTATTCTTGTACTAGAGGCCCAGTGCACAAAATTCGTGCACGCAGGGTATGTGCGTCCCTCAGCCCAGCTGGCACCCTCTCCAATCTGGGACCTCTTAAGGGATGTCCGATTACCCAGTGGGATCAGGCCTGATTGCCCACAACTGCCCTCCTTTGCCAGCCATCTGTGTCCACATGGGGGCAGCCATCTTGTGTTGGAGTGATGGTCAATTTGCATATTACTCTTTTATTAGATAGGATTATTATTTATTAATTATTTTATTATTTATTTGTTTTACAACCTTTGCGCACCCCTGTATTATTAATAATATATGTAAAATATTTATTATTATTATGTGTCATTGAGCATTGCAGAATCATAAAAAATAATATATGCTATGGTAATATTTAAATCCTATATAATAAAGAGCTAATATACTAATTAGACCATACACCAGAACGACTGTCTGGATGACCTTCCGAACGAAGCTAGTGCTGTGAGGGCCGAGCCCCTTGCTGAATTTCGTGCATTGGGCCTCTAGTATTTCTATAATCCATGTTGGAAAAAACAAAAGAAAGATAAAGGAAGAAAGATTTGGGTTGTGAGCTTGAATTCTTAAAATTGCCAACTAGTTGGTAAAAAGGAATAGAAAATTATTAAGTATAAATGAATGCTTTAATTCCAGTATGTCCCTTATCCCTTCACAGTCTATGCCCTGTTTTGAAACTTCTTATAACTATGTTTTTGGTTTTTTTTCTCCCTGGTGCTGCATATATAAGCCATTTGCACTCTTTCTTCTCATAGATACTTCCAAATCACTTTACCCTGCCTTCTGGTTTAGTAGAATGGAGCAAGAAAACGTAGACTCATGTGGGGGTTGCCATTTCTGATTGTGCAAATTTGCCACCGTGAGACTGTCAGCTGAGGGGCTCTGAAAGGGGAGGACATCTCAGTTGTGGAATTTACTTGCCATTTTGGAATTTGCATGAAAGTGCTGGATATGCTAACAGCTGCCTTGCTGGCCTCTTCTTTATAAGGAAGTATTTAACTATACTTGTGTGAAGCTGCCATATGAAGAAATGTATTAGATTACCAACTCTAGGTTATTTTGCTAA